GGTTGAAGGCTTGCGAGGCAGACCAGTCAAGCCGAAGGCCCAGAGAGCGGTCCAGATAAGCTGAAGGCCCGGTGAGGTAGTCCTATCATGCTGAAGGCTATGTATGAATGTTTTTGCTTGTCATGTTTACGTGATGGTACTTTGGGGGAATTCATTAAGCGTTTGCTTACAATTTTAGTTTAGTTTCAAGTACTTCTAAGGACGGTGGCAAGGCGATGGAGTGACCTTACACATCCTTGGTTTTATGTTATTAGGTCATGGGTGACTCTAATTTCAAATAATGTTTTTGGAAACAAATGGTTATCTAAACACTTTTTAAGTAAATGTTTTTTTTTTTTTTTTTTTGAAAAGTTTAAATTTTTTGTGATTTTTGAGATATTTTAAATTGGTATTAGAGCCTTGGTTTGAGAGAATTGGAGGAACAACCATATGAATCCAGAATCAAACTAAGGAACTGTAAAAGTTTTAAAAATGATTTTCAAAATTGTTTTCAAAAATAACCAAGGAAGGATGTGATGTGTACGATCAGCCAGAACCAGAAAGTATACCCCACGTTACCACACTATTATTTGATATGATATTTATGGTAGAATAGCATGTTAGTGATAGGCTAGGGATCTTCAAGAATTGCATGATAGAATTGTATGATGTATGATGGCTAATAACCTAGGGTTATTCCTTGCATGGAATTGACATCATTATTGTAGTTGCTTAGTGTATGCATCACAATTACACATAACTAAGATTTTATAGAATGAGAATGTTTGGTTTGGCCTTATTTCCTGCTCCTTGTTTGGTTGTGGTCTTATGGTAGAATCAAATACTTGACTGTTTATAGGATCTAGTGTTATGTATGATTAGCATACACGAGTGCTATAGGGTTGGTGGAAGTTTCATGGGTGAATATTTTCATGAGAAATCGGTTAGAGGTGGATGTTTAGCTACTCTTGAGAGGGTAAGGATATGATGTATACGTATTGTGACATCCCTATTTTCACGGCCAGAAAAAACCGATTTGTTTATGCTATATTTTGAAAACCAGAGTATCTTTTAAAGAAATATGTTGCGGAATTTGTTCCAAGTAAAACATGATAAATACGTTATAAAAGCATTTCCTAAGAAATGTATTTTTATTCATTTAAAAACATTTGGGATGTCATTGTCAATACAGAAACATAAGAATAAGCAGAACTTACATTCATTATCACTAGTGATTTACATCTCATTAATCTCTCAATGTAATGTAACTTCATATCAACACTTGTGATACAAATAAGTTGGAGTGGGTCGGGTTGGGAAACCTGGTGAGTACATAGGGTTTTCAACCCACAATAATATAATTATTATGTTTAAACATCAAACAATCAACCTAATTACCCATCCCCATTATATTCTTTACTTTTAAGGATCTACCTTAAGAATCAGGTATTTCTCGTTCATTCATTCCTAAGGATCATCCTAAGGAATCATCATGGAATCCGTCATTGTCAGGGTTTACTCAACATGCATTAAGTCGCATAGTCACCAGGGTTTAGGCACTAAGTCTCATAGTCGCCAGGGTTTAGGCACTAAGTGTCATAGTCGCCAGGGTTTAGGCACTAAGTCTCATAGTCGCCAGGGTTTATACAATAGGCACTAAGTCGCATAGACGCCAGGGTTTAGGCACTAAGTCTCATAGTTTCCAGGGTTTATACAACAGGCACTAAGTCGCATGGTAGCCAGGGTTTATACAACGGGCACTAAGTCGCATGGTAGCCAGGGTTTATATCGTTTATTGACAATATCGTTTTCGAGAGTCCACTCGTAATACATGTCAATGGGTTTTTAGAGTACACTGGGTGAACATCTCGTTCACAACACCTACAGGTTACGAGCCTGCTAGTGTTTCCACTGGACTGTCTACAATAGTTCGTGGTTGTCACCCATACTCTGCTAGATGACGGGGACATCACTTGGGTCATCGCTTAGGTCATCACTTGGCTCATCGCTTCTCACCATATTTTACCACTCATATATCAATGCTCAGCATTCATCTCATCTTTCATCGTTCATCATTTATCTCATCACTAATATAACAATGTTTTACCCAACACGTTTTGTAGATATAAAATAAATATACAATTTAAATCATTTAAAACATGTATACAAATCGTTCATCCAGCATAGATAGCAAGTATATAGATAATATGAACACGTAACACATAGTTCATATAAAATACTTCATATGATCATATCTATGTGTAAGATGAAAGTAACCATGCACTCACTTGTTATAATGATGATTCCAAACTCGGCAGCACTGCACTTTTAACGATTCTATTTTCCTTCGACGAAACCTAGCATTATTATCGCCAAGTTTTAGTCTAATCTTTATTGCAACTAATTATTAATCTAGATTCATCATTAACTCAAAGTCTACTTTCATGATCTATCAAGTAAGGAACAATCTGGTAGGGTCATATCGAAGGTAGGGTCCATTTGGTATACGAAGTATACTGTTTGGAAATCCCACTTTAAACACATCACTAAATCACAGCCTAGAGATCATCCCCGTAAGTACATCGATCAATATAACAACTTGGAATCACCGATAAATTTTGTTTATAGGTTCATAATAACGATAAGGAACTTAAGCTTAAGTTATAATTAAAGTAGGGTAAACATAACTCACTTACCGGGGGTTTGGCTAGGAGCAGGGCTCTACAGGAGCAGAAGTTCTGAGCCGAAATCTCTTCTTCTCGGATCCGTTGGGAGCTCTGGGGCTTCCTTCTTGTGCTAGGGGGGTTCCCTAGGCTTTTTTTTGTGGGGGGGGGGGGGATTTAGGGGGTATTAGAGAGTGTATAGAGTGAAGGAAGAAAGGGTAAGGTGTGAGGTATGAAGAGGGTGTGCGTTTGTATTTATAGGCTGCCAAGAGACCTCCACTACAAGAAAACAACCCTTTAATGACGCATAAACAATGACACACAGTGATTTACGAAACGCAAAAGCGTGCGCTCTAAAAATAATGTCATCTCTTCTAAATTTTGAAGTATAGAGGACATGCATTTATGCGTGCCCTGAAATTAATGTCAGCACAAAAAAAAAAAAACACGGAGGGCACCGGTCGTAAAAAGTGCGTCGTCTAAGTATGTCGTTTTATAATTTTAGTGAAAGGCGCGTTTTAAAGGGAAACGAAATCCCTTTGAAATATAAACCCCGCCTGATGCATCAACTCCTTCTCCATCTACTCCTTCGTATGCTGTACCCAAGAAACCCTAATAGTGTGGCTGCCAATATTTATCCCTTTCTCCATTTTGTCGCCTTCAAGCTCTGAATTAGGGTTTACTTTGGCGATAATTTCAATTTCTCTTACACCAAACATCCCAGCTCTTCAACCCTAAATCCACCACTGCTACTCCGCCTTCTTTCTCCGGGCTCCGCCGCTCTTCGAAGATCGACTCGGCTTCACTCTCCATAACTCAATCGTTCTTAAAAAAATTCAATTCTCACATACATCTCTCCTCTTATACGACACGACCTTACACCGGCAAAGTGACCAATCGCCATGGACAGTATTGAGAAGGTATACACATGCTTTTTCATCTTATTCTGGATCTCGCCTACGATTGAGTGTTCCCAGTCCTGCTCCACCTCCGGTCTACCCAACTCCATCGATCTACTTCCGGTTCCCCTTTCTTTCTCTCTCCCTCTCTCTCTCTCTCTCTCTCTCTCTCTCTGTCCCCTATATATACATATACATACTGCGTGACATCCAGGAGGTGATTTAGGGTTCTATATACATCTCTATCTCTCTCTCTCTCTCTCTATATATATATATATATATATATATATATATATATGTATACACACACACACATATATATATATATATATATATATATATATATATATATATATACACACACACACACACACCATTTCAAAGTCATCTTCTGGAGCTTCAGATCTTAGAAGGTTTACAGTGGAAGGTACGACCAGTGACATCCAGGTTCGTGTAATGGTGATCTCTTAAATGATTGTTTGATTTTGTATTGTTAATTACGAAAATGACATTCTTTAGTCTGGACACAATTTAATAAGAATATTTAACTAACAAGTAATATGCCAAATTAGAGAAAACGTTTAGAACAATAAGCCTACCAATACTTTGTAACGCTTAGCAATGACATTGAGATAATTTTGGATTAGAAATGAAAACGTGAACATAAAGATCTAACAAATGTATATAAATAATTTCAACATGTAGCTCTGAAAGTGCTTTCCGTTTATTTTGAACCTTGTTCTTGACTTTTGTAAGCTGGTGGAGTTACCCCAAAGAAGGGTGGAACAGAGCATTGAGGGCTCCCTGTTTTCAACTCAGTTGCAGATGAAAAAGTTGAAACCAAGGCTAATGCATCTGTAATTTATGTGACTCCACCATTTGCTGCAGCAACAATCATGGAAGCATTAGAGGCTGAATTGGATTTGATTGTTTGCTAAACAGAAGCAGTTCCACAACATGACATGGTAACCTGCATTTCTCATCAATATGTTGGCTACTTGTGTTTTCAATGTAAGAATGTTATTGACTGTCTGTCCCTTGTAATCAATCATATGCATACATGTTCGTGTAAAGGCTGCTTTAATTAAGCAGTCAAAAACTCGGCTGATTGGACCAAATTGCCCTGGTATCATTAAGCCTAGAGAATGTAAGATCAGAATCATGCCTGGTTACATTCATAAACCAGGGCATATTGGTATTGTATCTCGATCTATGAAGCGGTAAGATATTCTTGATTTTTTCTTAACTTATTATATGATTGGTTTAAGATTAACTGCTTATTTTGAGTTTGGAAAACATTATATGATTCTATGCACAGCTATTTGAATGATTTGTTTGTTCATTTTGTTACAGGTATACCAAACTACTACTGTAGGGCTACGTCAATCCACATGTGTGGGTATTGGTGAGGATCCTTTTAACGGGACCAACTTTGTTGATTGCATGAGAAAATTCATTGATGACCCTCAGACAGAAGGTAACTCAAGTTTTCAAATGAATTTGAATTTTGGTTAGGCTTTTTAAATTTGGGTAATTGCATCTCATTTTGATGTGTGGATAGTTAGTGTGTTTCCAACATGAATATCATAAGAAATTTTGTTACTTAGTTTTTTAAGTTTTTTGATAACATAAAATGGTTATTCTGTTAGGGTTACTTTAAAGCACAAGTGTATAGCAGTCTTTAGTTTTTCCATGTCTATTCTAAAAGTATGATTTTTCTAAAAAAAAAGTTGATTTTTTTTTTCCAATCAATTCTATGTTTTGGGACTAGTCCTTTTGACCTCAAAGTGTTTTGAAAGATTGTGCAGCTTGAGGTTGAGTTGAGAAGAGAGCGTCATGAGGGAGATCTCAAGGAGAAGTATAGACTTGCTCGTGTTATGGAACATAAGGTATGTAATGTATTTTTTGAATATTAACATTTTTTATTATTATTTGGAAGATCAATGCTTCACAAAAAATCCAAAGTGGAATTTACCCCCTTGGTGTAGTTGGAGCAATTGTATCATGGAATTATCCATTTCATAACTTGTTTAATCCAGTTTTAGTTGTTGTCTTCTCTGGGAATGACATAGTTGTCAAGGTTTTAATTCTTGAGTAATTTACATTACACCCCTCGAGTATAGTTATTTTTGCAGTCTTGGTCCAAAAATGTTTTCTCTTGCAAATTGGTCATCATTTGTGGTCTTGTAACAGTTTTAGTCCCTGTTCCAAGTAAAATAACTATTTTGGTCCCTGAGTATATCTGATTTTTGCAATATTGGTCCAAAATATAGTCATTTTCTTGAAATAGAGACGAACAACCTCAAATAAGGGACTCAAATTGCAAAATCAGCTATACTCAAGGACCAAAAATGCAATTTACTCTTCCTTATTCGTATTTAAGGTTTCAGAACATGCAAGCTGGTCTGGATGCTTCTACGTGCGAATTCTCCAAACTGCCCTTGCAGCTGTTGGAGCTCCTAAAAATCTTGTTGAAGTCATAACCGGGTAAGCCAAGCCCTTTTTAGTCATTTCAATAATTTTTAATTTTATCAGGTCCCTTAAACTTTGAATATTCCAGGTTTGCTGAGACTGGAGAAGCATTAGTCTCCTTACTTGACAAAATCATATTTGTCGGCTCTCCAAGTGTTGGCAGAATGGTATGATTTTCCCTTTTCCATCTCATGACTGGAAGATAACATAAAGGGTATTAACGTAATTTTCACATTACATTGTTTTATAAAACCAGATAATGAGAAAAGCCGTTGACACATTGATACCCGTGACACTTGAGCTTGGTGGAAAAGATGCGTTTGTTGTCTGTGAAGACGTCGATGTGGCTCATGTACGAATCTTTGACTTTCGGTCAAATTCATATAACAATTTTGACTTTTCCATCTTTTGTTTACTGCAAATTGTGAGAAATAGCAATGAATATACATTTTCTACAAATAATAGCAAACATGTAATCCATAATAGCAGCTTACTTACATTTTCTCTATAAAAATTAGCAACCTACTTACATTTTTTTTACCAATAATAGCAATATATAACAAATAAAGTACATTGCCTATATTTGTAAAAAAAAGTTAAAGTACATTGCTATTCTGAGCAAATAAGCCATTTTTAATAGAATCTTCAAACTCAATACAGGTTGCACAAGTTGCTGTTAGGGCTGCTTTACAATCTAGTGTACAAAACTGTGCAGGAACTAAAAGATTTTATGTCCACAAAGACATATACGCTTAAATTTGTAGATGCGGTTGTCAAGATTGTTAAATCTGTCTCAGCTGTAAGTAACTAATTAGTAATTACAGTTCTACCCTATTGATTATATATAATTTGCAATGTATTATTTTTTTAATTAAATACGTAAATATTCTAGGGTCCTCTACAACTTGGAAAATACAACATGGGTGCGATTTGCATGCAAAAAGGCTTCAAAGTTTAATAAATGATGCGTTGGATAAAGGAGATGAAATTGTTGGAGGTGGAAGTGTGAGAGATATTAGTGAAGGTGTTGTTGACCAATACTTCCCTCCTACTGTTATTGTAAATGTCAACCATCAGATGAAATTGATGCAAGTGGAAGTAAAGTCCTTTTTTTTTAAAAAAAAAAAATAATCTGAAATCAAAGCATCCTTCTACACTTGCAGGTCCTTTTTCCTTCTTACAATTGTTATCTTTCTAATACTCTGTCCGCTTCATGACAGTTACCATGCAAAAACTGTGATAAATAGTAAGTTTACCCCTGGAAAGGACTCCATTCAACAAGGATCAAATATTGACATCAAGGGTGCAACTATAGTTCAGTTACATTATACATCAATTGTTGATGAATTGAATTGGTAACAATAACATTGTTGTAATCATGCAGTGGGTGCATTACTTCTGCAGAGACTATTATGTTAGAGAAGCAAAGCGTGGATGAGTTTCTATCCAATATAAACAATGGCAAAACTGTTATTGTCTCACTTTCACTTTAGTCAAGGGCAGAAAGTCCCTGATGAAGGTTGTATTTTGCAGGATGGAACACCTTAGCCAGGAAATAACACAAGGGATCATCCAGGAGACAACTATGAGGCTTCAACTTTTCCCCACTGGTTGACTTTTAAACTTTGAATTTTTCTGCTTATAATCAAGGATTTGTTTTAATTAGATTGGTTTATGTGAAACTAATGATTACGTAATCATATGTATGAATATGAAATAAAGTTTGTTATTTAGTATGTGATAATCATGTATAGGGAGAAAACAACTTCTATTGACTTGTTTTATCTTTCCATGGATCGATTATTTGTATGACATCAAATTTTATGCAATGGATTGTATTTTTTGTTATGAGACATTAAATGCAAATATAAATTGAAAATTAGTAAATCTATAAATAATATTTTTTATAACATTTAAAATTATGATACGCAAAATTCTGTGTCATCTTCATTTACGACATGGCCTTTCTTGACAGGGGCTTCCTTGATACGCATTGCGTGTCATAAACACGCGCGTCGTAAGGTTACGACACGCAAATTCGTGTCGTCTTACTTTATGACAAGGCCTTCCCTGATACGCATTGCGTGTTGTAAACGCGCGTCGTAATTGAGCGTTGTAAATGAGCGTTGTAGATGACGTGCGAAAGCGCGTCGTCTCTCTTTATAAGAGGGCATTCCTTGATGCACATTTGCGCGTCGTTTGAGCCTTTTACGACGCGCAATGAGCGTCGGCTGTTTTTCTAGTAGTGCTCTCACATCGTGAGTTTATGATGCTGACGTTGTGAGCCAGCTGGAGACACCAAAGCTGAGCCTGGTGCTGACATGTGGCATCGCACACAGGGTGTAAATAAGCCGATTTTCAAAAATTCATAACATTCGCACACAAGTTCTGTTTTTGACGTTTTTTATATCCACGCGTAGGTAAAAATAAAATCTACAACTTTCCTTTTGACCGATCTTAAATTTAACAGTAGGAGGATAATATATTGTTAAATGACCGTGTAAAATTCGTAACTTCTTCATACGAGTTTCATTTTCTTCTGTCATTTTATCATTGAGTTCCTATTAATGAGATCTTAAACTCTCATTTAGATCGCGTTGACCAAAAACCGCTCGATCTAAAATTCGAGTTTCGGGTTGTACACTGCTAAGCCAAATCTTAGAAAAATCATAACTTCCTCATATGAAGTCAGATTTGGGCGTTCTTTTTATGAAAACTATTGGTTTAACGTATACTATAACTTTTGTTTAGATTACTAAGGCTAAAATGTCCTCTATCGTAATTTACATTTCCCGGTGTCGTGTCGGTTTTATCGTAAAACTTCGACGGGTCATCACTTCTTCGTTATAACTCGGATTTCGGCGTTCTTTATATGTACGGAACCCTTGTAACAAATAATATAACTTGGTTAATATTAATACTTCTAACTACTTTTCCATCAAAAACTCATTTTTTTATGCTTATTGTCTCTAAATTGACTAGCTCGAATTTGCTGGCATTACACATATCTTGGTTGTTGTGTTTGTTTGAGAGGTTGTGATGATCATTGAGAAAAAATATGGTTAGGTGTGGAAGGTAGTGTGGGACCATACTAATGAAAGCATAGGACCCGTATGCATCCCAAGGAAATCTCAAACCCCGAGGGTTTGTTTATCAGTAATAGTTTGGGTTATATGAATTGTGGAATTTTGATATATTATGGTTTATTTTTCAGTATGGTGTTCACTCAGAGATCAGGTTCTGGGTCTTGAGTGAGTGGCCAGGATGGCTCGAGGATGACGGATGATAAGATTCAGGAGGTCATTGCCACTGAGGTGGCTGCTGCTGTTTGGCGATCTATGTCGGTGACGTTGGGGTCTATAAATACCTCCATGATCGAGTTTTTTGATGAGCGATATGAGGCTACCACAACTGTTTCTACTGCGGGGATTTGTGGGGGGATAGCCTTTCAGTATCGGGACTTCGAAAATACAAAGTCCCCAGTGCTTGATGAAGTTTAGGATCTGATTGTTTCGATAAGATGGTTATATGATTGTTGGAATTTAGGATATGATTGTTGCGATGAGATGGTTATATGATATGGAGAGTTGTTTCTTCACGTGTTCTTGCACTGCTGACCAGAAGTTCAAGTGCACCATGAACCTTCTTTGTTAAGGCGTGAAGTATTGGTGGAGGTTGGTTACTGGCTCGTACACTCCTAAGCAGAGGGTTGTTGTTACTTGGGAGCAGTTTATTGAGATATTTCATTCAATATATGTCCCTTTGGTGGAGAGGGAGAGCTTGGCTTAGGAGTATCTTGAGTTGAGGAACATGACAGAGATGGTGACTCATATCACCAACATGTTTACCGAGAGGGTTATTTTCTGTCTTGAGTTTAATGCTTATAAGCAAGCTCAGATGACCCGGTGAGCATGCTCAAGTAGGATATCCATCATTTTGTATCCACTCAACGATATGGTTCACTCTTTGAGTTATTGGAAGCAACGAGGAGGTAGGAGATTAAGATTGATCTCCAGTCGAGTGAGTTGAGGCGGGCCCTATGCTGTCGCAGCGTGAAGCAAAGCGATTTATGCCCGCTGATTCGAGGTCTGGAGGAAAAAAGAGCTGCACTTGTGGGAAGTGAAACTAAGTTCTTGAGGTTTCTTTCCGATCATTTGTTGGATTCTACAAATGTGGCAAGGAGGGGCACTTAGCAAGGGATTGTCGCCATCCGGTCCCATTACTGAGCGCTAGGATTTGTTATCATTGTGATCAGGTTAGCCATGTGAAGTTCAATTGTCCATTGCTCGTCGCCAAGCCGGTGCAGGCCCCAACGCTAGCCATTCTGAGGATCACCGATGGGCGACAAGGTAGGGCTGAGCCCCCGAAGGCTCGATGTAGCACCTGGTTTCCGGTATGTGAATTTTATTTGAGTATTGCCCTATTTTAGCCTTGGACTCGGCGAGTCACAGGGTCCGACTCGCCGAGTAGGGACGAGACGCAGGACACGTTTAAGTTGGCGACTCGGCGAGTCCATATCCTGGACTCGGCGAGTCACCGCTGTTGGATGAAACCCTAAGTTTCAGGGGTTTGCACCCTATTTAAACCCCATATCTGCCCCTTGCCAGCCCCCATTTACCCCCCCAGAGCTCCCAACCCTCGTCCTAAGCTTGTTCTTGTGAACTTGAGGCTCTTGTGTGCATTCTTGAAGGTTTTGAGGCAAGAAGGGGAAGGAGATCAAGAGAAAGAAGAGCCATCCAAGCATCATTGTGTTTTTCAGCTGTATCATTGAGGTATATCTCGTTTTTCCCCTGTTTCTATGCTTAAGATTTCATTTAAGACACTCTTGAGCAATTCCTCAAGCTTGTTTGTGCTTAATGTTTTGTAATAAGTGGATGGGCCTTTAGATCTAGGCAAGATTGAGCTCCAGGAGCTCAGATCTGTTAGCTTTATGGCCCCATGTGGCTTGTTCATCCTAGATCTACCCTTTTAGGCATTTTGAACCCTAAAATCCATGTTAGTGAGTATCCACACGTAAAGTTGGAAACTTTACGTGTGATTGGTGTCCTAGAAGTCCAGATCTATGAATGGCATGAACTGAAATCGAGTAAATCGGTGTATTTGGTGGATGCATGGCGACGACTCGGCGAGTCGTATAGGTGACTCGGCGAGTCTGGTCGCGAGTCACCGAATTGGTCCCTTCATGATGTATCGAGTTGAGCCGTGAGTCACAGGGGGTGACTCGGTGAGTTGGGAGCTGACTCACTCCCATAGGACTCGGCGAGTCAATGCCTGACTCGGCGAGTCCAAGGCAATCTTCATAGATCAGGAACAGACTCGGCGAGTTGTTCATACAACTCGGCGAGTCTTAGCATATGTGTTCTTCGGATGAAGATGAACTCGACGAGTTGTTCATACAACTCGGCGAGTAGGATGAAGGAGTTGAATGACAGTTTAGAAGATGAACTCGTCGAGTCATAGCCCAACTCGACGAGTAGATCAGGGACCCAGGACAATAGTTTGCTAGGGACTCGGCGAGTGGAGATCCACTCGGCGAGTCGGGTCAACTGAAAGTTGACTTCGATTTGACTTAGGGCTAGACCAGGGGTAAAATGGTCTTTTTACCCAAAGGTCAGTTAGCAGTGTATGATCAAGTATATTGTGGGAATTGCAGCCGGAGGACTCCAGAGCAGCAGCAGTCAGTTAGTTCCCGATCAGTTCAGCAGCTACTTTGAGGTGAGTTACCTTCCAGTAGTGGTGGGTCTAAGGCCACAATG